AAAAAAAAAAAAAAAAGAAAATCAGTTGACCATAATATGTGAGGGTTTATTTCTTGACTGTCAACTCTATTCCATTTACCTATATTTCTATTCTTAGATTGGTACCAAACTGTTATGATTACTGTAGCTTTATAGTAAGTTCTGAAATAGGAAAGTAGGAGTTCTCCAAATTTGTTATTTTTTAATATTGTTTTGGCTATTCTGCATCTGTTGAAATCTCAAAAGAATTTTAGGATCAGCTTGTTAATTTCTGCAAAAAGTCTAGCTAGGAGTTTGATAGGGATTGAATTGAATGTGTGGATGAATTTGGTCAATATTGCTACCGTAACAATATTGTTTTCCAATCCATTAACATGTGATGTCTTTATATTTACTTTAATTTCTTCCAGCAATTTTTGCAATTTTCAGGATTTTTTGCACTTTTGTTAAATTTATCCTTAAGTGTTTTATTCTCTTGATACTATTGTAGATGGAATTGTTTTCTTATTTCACTTTTGGATTGTTCATTGCTAATATATGTAAATGTAGTTGACCCTTGAACAGCATGGGTTTGAACTCTGTGGGTCTACTTATATGTGGGTTTTCTCCTATCTCTACTGTCTCTATGACTTCAGGATCAACCCCTTTTCTTCCTCCTCCTCAGCCTACTCATTGTGAAGATGATGAAGATGAAGACCTTTATGATGATCTGCTTCCACTTAATTAATAGTAAATATATTTTTTATTCCTTATGATTTTCTTAGTATTTTTTTCTAGCTTTATTGTGAGAATACAGCATATAATATATAATATACAAAATATGTGTTAATCAAGTGCTTATGTTATCATTTAGGCTTCTAGTCAACAGTAGGTTATTTGTTGGTTAAGTTTGCGGGGAGCTGGCTGGGTGTGGTGGCTCACACCTGTAATCCCAGCAATTTGGAAGGCCAAGGGGATACGGATCACTTGAGGTCAGGAGTTCAAGAACAGCTTGGCCAACATGGCAAAACCCCATCTACTAAAAATACAAAATTAGCCGGGCATGGTGGCACATACCTGTAATCCCAGCTACTTGGGAGGCTGAAGCAGGAGAATCACTTGAACCCAGGAGGCAGAGGCTGTAGTGAGCTGAGATGGTGCCACCACACACCAGCCTGAGCAACAGAGCAAGACTCCATCTCAAAAAATAAAAATAAAAAGTTTTAGGGGAGTCAAAAGTTAGACATGTATTTTCAACTGCATGAGTTGTGCCACGCCCCTAACCCTCACATTGTTCAAGGGTCAACTGTACAGTTGATTTTGTATGTTACTCTTGTATTCTGCAACTTTGCTGAATTTATTAGTTCTAATTGTTAGTCTTTTTTTTTTTTTTTTTTTTTTTTTTTTGAGGCAGAGTTTCACTCTTGTTGCCCATGCTGGAGTGCAATGGAATGATCTTGGCTCCTGCAACCTCTGCCTTCTGGGTTCAAGCAATTCTCCTGCCTCAGCCTCCTAACTAGCTGGGATTACGGCATGTACCACCATGCCCAGCTTATTTATTTTGTTATTTTTAGTAGAGACGGGGTTTCACCATGTTGGTCAGGCTGGTCTCGAACTCCTGACCTCAGGTGATCACCCAAACCTTGGCCTCTCAAAGTGTTGGGGTTACAGGCGTGAGCCACCATGCCCAGCCTAATTGTTAGTTTCAATAGGTTTTTTAATGGATTCCTTAGGATTTTCTATATAGAGGGTCATATCATCTACAACTAGAGATAGTTTTACTTCTTGTTGTCCAATTTGTATTTCTTTAATTTTATTTTCTTGTCTGATTGCCTTGGCTAGGACCTCCATACAATGTTGAGTAGAAGTGGCCAAAGTGGATATCCTTATCTTACTGCTGATTGTAAGGGAAGGCATTCATTCTTTCGTAATTTCATATACTGTTAGCTGTGGGTTTTTTATAGATGGCCTTTATCAGAGAGAGGAAGTTCCCTTCTGTGCTTGGTTTGTTGGGTGTTTTTATCATGAAAGGGGTATTGGATTTTGTTAAATGCTTTTTCTGCATTTATTGAGATGATCTTGTGGGTTTTTGTTCTTTATTCGGTTTGTAATGTTGTATTACCTTAACTAATTTTTGGGTGTTAAACCATTTAATCCTTTTCATATGTTTTTAGATTTAGTTCACTATTATTTTGCTGAAGATTTTTCTGTCAGTATTCATAAGAGGTATTAGTCTGTAGTTTCCTTGTGGTGTCTTTGTCTAGTTTAGTGTCAGGGTGAAACTTGCCCCGTATAAATCATGGGGAGTGTTCCCTCCTCTTCTGTTTTTCGGAAGGGTTTGTGAAGACTTGGTTTTCATTCATCTTTAAATATTTGAGAGTTTGCCAATGACAACATCTGGGCCTGGGCTTCTCTCTGTGGAGAATTTTCAAGTTGCTGATTCAGTCTCTTTACTTTTTATAGGTCTGTACAGGCTGTATCTCTTTTGAGTCATTTTCAGTTGTTTGTGTCCTTCTAGGAATTTGTGCATTTCATTCGTTACCTAATTTTATTGGCATACCATTGTTTATAGTAGTCTCTGGTAATGCTTTTTTATTTCTGTAAGATTTATATATCCCTTTCATTTTATTCTTTTTTTTTCTCTTGATCAATTTAGTTAAAGATTTATCTTTTTTAAACTCTTTAAAGAACTAACTTTTGATTTTCCTGTGTTATTTTTGTAGTCTCTATTTTATTAATTTCTACACCAATCTTTATTAACCCATTTATG